GAAAGTATTTCATATAAATTTTCATTCATTTTTTGTTTTTTATTCATAATAAATTTCGTGAACAAAGAAATCAAAACACGAATGTAAATTGTTATTTTATTAATTAATTAAACAATCAAATTACTAAAATAACTTGGAGCAACCCGGAGCAAAAATTATATAGTAACCCGAGTTATAATAAATAATTTGCTCTGGGTTAGTACAAAAAATTAAAAATCTTAACCCGCTCTGTGACAGAATGATACATAACCTGGGTTGATGCCAGAACATTATGCTCTGGTTAACAACCCTACCTATCAGCCACCTCAATAGTTACCCAATTGGTCTCCGATATATGTCCAAAATACAGATTTCAACTTGTACTATTACATTAAAATTATAATAGATAGTATAAGTATCTCATTAATCGAAGAAAATAATAATAAAGACAGCTCTGATAAAAATAACCCTCCTAGGTCTGATTTATCAACAGATAATATCACGAATATGATTAAAAAAATTCTTTCAGATATTGAAGATAAATCTGAAAAGTCATTGCTTTGTAATAATAAATATCGAAAGAGATATTATGACAATATATCTCCTGTATTTTTAACAAATAGAAAAGTCAGCAAGATTAAGAAATATTCTAAAGGTTCGAAGAGTCATTACTCTATAATAGATTTAGGTGGAGGTGAAAATCTTTCAATCAAAATTCATCTCAATAATATTTGAAGTTAGTTCATTTTATAGAAAAGAATATAGAGTATAAAATTTTTGTAAAACTTTGTAATATTGAGAATAAATTGAGGTGTAGAAAGAAAATAGAGTTGATAGGGCTAAAGGATAATAAGTCAGATTCCTTTTAATTCTCATTTATATCTAAATAAGAGCAAGAAAGGTGAGATCAGATATTTCATAAATTCAGATACTGACTCTAATTCTAACACTTATTATTTCTCCAATTCAGGTTTGGAAGATATGTATAAGGTCACAACTGTAAAAAAGTGAAAATCTCATAAGAAATAAATTAATCATCTGATAAGTTTATTAATTGACATACGCATATTTATTATATATTACATAGCACATTTCTACTGTCACACCAATATATGGACAAGGGTTTGAAGGATAACTAATATATTTTAACTAAACTAACTTAAACTATTCAAATAATTCTCAGAATTTCTTGAGAATCACTAAGATCAACTCAATTCAATTATTTAATAGTGAATTCGAATAAATATTACAAGGTGAGTTCTTTATTGT